TCCTCGATGAGCAGCTGGATCAGCAGCTGGGCGTGCCACCAACGGGTACAGTACAGATCCTACTTAGTCCTACTGCGCTAACGTACGGAATGTTAACTTAACATTCCGTACGTTAAAACCAACATACGGAACGTTAAATTAACGTTCCCAATGCCTTACTTAACGTAATTTCAATTGATGTTTTACGCGTAGTAAGGAACCAGTAAAATACAAGAAGTGGATGGTATCAGATGAAGCTGTGCTGACTGACCTTCAGAGGGAAGTGATTACAGTGTAGATGAAACTGCAACAGGAAGAGCAAAAGCCCGGAAGATCCAGACCTTGGTGGATGAATATGGGGAAGAAGAGTTAATCAGACTGATTTGGTTGAAAGCTTCAAACGACACCGATGTTGACACCAATGTCGTGATTGGTGAAGAGTTGTAACCTAACAACTGAAGCCCTTGAAGCAACCAAAGCAACCAAACAATATGGAACCCAACTGATTCGAGGTTGCTGGAGATAGTGACGACCTTGTTCAGGGCTGTAGTCCATCGGAAAGGGTGGTTCTTGTACTTGACACTGAAATTCTGTAATTGCTGACACCCAGAGACTAAATTCCACAAATTCAGAATTCAATTTTTTTCTCCATATCTGCTTGTAGAACAATGAACTTAATCTTTGGCATGGTTACTAATTAGAATATGTGCTACAGGCGCGTTCCAGTTTTGGGTGGCCAAATATCGGCCAAATCTTACATTTGGTACGTGCGTCAACCGTGTCAATTTTCGAATTTTGTGTAGGCTTCAGTACAGTTTCTACGTGCTTACCTTAATTCAAGAACTAGTCGAAGCAAAAGACAATTCAAGAATCTAAAGTGTCAGACTTACACCCACAATAGTGTGGAAAGTGTAAGTCCGGCACTTTAGATTCTCGAATTGACTTTCCCTTTGACTAGTTCTCGACTTAAGGTGGAAAGGATCTGCTCCGGCTTCAATATTATTACACGGGATTCAAAATTAATAGGCGCGCCATTTAAAAGAACCCACATGAAATTGACTGAAATCACACAATATTTTCACCGGATCCCCCATCCGCTAACAATCGGAACACATGCTCCACAATCGCCTATCAATGAAAACACATGATTAACGACTGCTATACAGTAATCAGTTGCAGAAGTACAATCCGCTAACAATCAAAGCACATGATTAACGACCGGTCTACTAACAATTGAAGCACATGATAGCGTATCAAAATTTTAGTAGACTGTGAGTAGGCTGCTAAACAATCGAAGCACATGATATTGTGTCAAGGTAAAGAATGGAAACACATGAATGGAAACACAAGATAGCGTATTGAATTTTCGTTCATTCTTGTTCTGAGGGGAATGAGAATCTCTGCACATCTTTTTTTTTGTGCAGTATTTTGTGCGCAAGACAAAATGGAGAGATTCTCATTCCCAATGTAAGATTCGCGGCCACCCAAAACTGGAACGCGCCTACAAGAATATCATGGTGGTTTATATTGAAAAGGATTGCAATAGTGATTTTAGAGGACCACCATGGTCAAATTGCTTTCCAAAGAAAAAGAAGTCTGTTTATGAAGGCTGGTGTCTGCGTTTGATTTGTCTGCTGAATCAGCAGTAATTTTATGCATGCTCATGTTGAAACCTTTTGTCTTGCACACAAATACTGCATAAAAAAAAAGATGTGCAGAGATTCGCGTTCCCTTTTGAACAAGAATGAATTCAAAATGTACAAAAATTTTGATACGCTATCATGTGCTTCCATTGTTTAMAGTAGTATAATATCTCAACACAATATCATGTGCTTTGATTGTTTAGCAGCCTACTCAGAGTCTACTTGCTTATACACTACTAAAATTTTGATACACTATCTCATGTGCTTCCATTGTTTAGAGTCGCAAAATTGATTGCCTATATGTTCATAAAATTTTGACACGATATCATGTGCTTCCATTGTTAGGAGCCATTGCAATCAATTGCCTTTATGTTCATAAAATCTCGACACGATATCATGTGCTTTGATTGTTTAGCAGCCTACTCGCAGTCTAATTGATCATATGCTAAAATTTTGATATGCTATCATGTGCTTCAATTGTTAGTAGTCTGGCCTTTAATCATGTGTTTTGATTGTTAGCTGATGGGGGGATCCGGTGAAAATATCATGTGATTTCAGTCAATTTCATGTGGGTTCCCTTGTATGACGCGCCTGTTAATTTTGAATCCCGTGTAAAAATATTGAAGTTCGAGGAGATCCTTGTTACCTTAAGGTGAGAACTAGTCAAAGCGAAAGACAATTCAAGATAATTCAATGGTCACATAACACGGGCCACACTATTGTTAGTGTTATGTGGGCATGCAATATTCTTGAATTGTATTTCGCTTTGACTAGTTCTTGATATTAGGCAGTCATGTAGAAATCCTACTGGAACCTACACAAAATTTGCAAAATTACACTGATAATTGACAGACAGGGAAGTTTCAAAATGTAAGATTTCGCGCATATGTGTGACCACACAGGACTGGAACGCGTCTTCTCTTGATATGATTTCCTTTCAGTCAGGTCCATGTCAGTCTATCGTTTCCCATTCTCCAAAACCTCTTTGATGATATGTCTGGAGTGGATTGCGACCCCCAGTGTTTTCAGGACCTTGTATCTTTTGATTAGCTCTTCGACATATTCTGCAGCGTCTTTGCCCTCTTGTCGGAAGTTGAACAGTCATCTGATTGCATGGATGATGTTTGTTATCCCATGGATGGTGGATTTGCTGTTTTGGTAGCATAATTCCCTGATCAGTTCCATTAGCCCAATCGCATTCTTTGATGCCTTCACAGATTTGAACTTGGCGAAGGCTTTCAGTCTCTCCTGTATCATAGGGTTAACCTGGCCCCAGATGATGTTATGTACATGTTGGGCATGCTCTGTCAATAGTAGGCTATGGCTTTGCTAGCCCCGGTCAGTTCCAGTTCCTGCAGCTTCTCTAGGGTCACCTTCAGGGCGGTGTTCTCCATCATCAAGGACTTTCCATCTTTGATTTTCTGGATCCCATTTTTGTCAAGATGTGGTGCCATGTAGCTTTCTTTATCATCTTTGTCGTTGTAACAGTCGTCCATTAGGAAGTCTTTCCGCTTGAGTGGGACAAGATCCTCAATGGCGCCTGCGACATTAGAGTTGCAGGCGGTGTTAGCATACTGTGGATCGTATTCTGTGATCACATAAGCTTTCAGCTTGGGGTTTTGCCCCATGAACTTTGGTCTTGTCGACTTTGGCTTGACTCTCCCTTCTTCGTGTTTGATTGCCCACCAGATTTATTGCCACCTCCCTCTGGATTGTTGGTGGGCTTGTTGTTGCTGTTGTTGCTGTTGAAAGACATCTTTTGGTCTTCAGTGTTCGAGGCATATCGACAATTTGTGTATCGCTAAATCTGATACTCAATTGTATGTGAGGCGACAATCAATGGACCTCATTCACACTTTTAAGCTTAGTGCCATGGTGGTATATTTCCAATGCACATTCACATATGCTATTCATCAGATCACGTGCCCTGTGTTGAGATGAATATAACTTATGGACTGTACCATTTTGCACACAAACATCAAATGAAGGAAACAGGCAATTCTTTCAAAGCAAAAGTGAAGATGCCAAGAGAATTGACAGATCCCTCTCATTGGGGGTATTTGGTGTGGAAGTTCATAAACTCTGAAAAGATTATACTTGATTATGAACAAAGCAAATGCAGGAAAATTGCTGTAAAGTAAAACAACTAAAACTATGCTAAGGCCTGATCACACTTGAATATACACGTTAAGTGCAAAAAAACAACCCAACCTATAAACTATTGTTCTATCAAAACTTATATTGTTCTATCAAGATCTTGAACAATTCCAATAATCAATTTATGTATAGCAATCTAAATCAGAAATATTTCCAAGTCTATATTTTATCAGAAGAACATCAAAAGCACTTGATAGTTAGCAAGGAGTTGTTCCTCACACCATCAGAACAGGAATGAATTCTGTATGAACACGCCATAAAAATTGTACTAAACAATGGGATCACATGATAGCATATCGAAGTTTTATAAGCATATACAATCAATTGCGACCCTAAACAATGGAAGCACATGATAGCTGAATTTCGATTGTTAGCGGATGTGGGGATACGCTATCATGTGCTTCAATTGTTAGTAGACCAGTCCGTACTTCTGCAACAACAACTGATTATAGTCCGGTCCTTAATCATGTGTTTCGATTGTTAGCGGATGGGGGATCCGGTGAAAATATCATGTGATTTCAGTCAAATTTCATGTGGGTTGTGTTAAATGGTGCGCCTAATAATTTTGAATCCTGGCTAATAATATTGAAGTTCGAGCACATGCTGCTTACTTTACATGGCAAACTAGTCAAAGGGAAAGACAATTTGAGAATCTAAAGTGCCACAGTAACACTTTCCACACTATTGTGCGTGTTATTGTGGCACTTGAGATTCTCGAACTGTCTTTCACTTTGACTAGTTGGCGATGTAAGGCAGCCACATAGAAATTGTACTGGAACCTACACAAAATTCGCGAAATTGAGACTTACGATGGAAGTACAGATTGTCGATTTTCGGCCAAATATGACCACCTGGGACTGGAACACGTCTAGTACTACTACTAGTAGTACTAGTAGCAGCTAGTACTACTACTAGCTAGTAGTAGTGCATGGAGGATACACTGTAGATGATTCATTCCCGATCTGCCTCAACAGCACCACGCGTTTGGACAGACGGAAATGTCTGGCTCGTGAAACAACAATATTTTTGAATCACTCTAAACAAAAAACATGTGAAGCATCACAGTAACGCATGGATTGCAACCATAACCACCGTGTCAATATCCACCAAAACTGATCTCAAACGATTTCAAATACATTGCAAGACATCTTTGTACAACATATCAGCATCGAAGCAATAATTAAACAGAAGAGATTAGACCATAGATTGAATTCCGGAACAGTCCATATCCAATCATTCAGACCGCACGGCGGGCAGCCTATTTTCTATTTTATCAAACCAGTCAACCCAAAAAAAAACACAAGCATATAACCCCAGAAACATACATATTCCTATCCACAGGACAATGAAAATTGTGAAGAAGAACATCAGCGCAAAGGACGGTAGCGGTACCGTTATGCTTCCGCCGGAAACCCCCGAGGATCTCTGGCATTCTTACAACCTCCTAAAGAAGGAGGATCTGGTTCGATGCACGACCGTCCGCAAGGTGATCAAGGAATCCAGCACCGGGTCGACGACCAGCTCCAAGAAGCGCCTGATGCTAACGATCTTGTTGGGGAAGATCGACTTCGATCCCGATGCCCTGCAGGTCCGCCTGAGCGGGCAGGTCCGCAACCAGAACGAGCTGGTCCGCCTTGGTGCCCACCACACCCTCATGCTTGAGCTCCACCAGAACTTTACAATCGAAAAGGACTGCTGGGACCAGATCTACCTGGAGATCCTCGAGGAAGCCTGCAACCCGACCGCCAGGCCAAGCTGGCCGCAATAGTGATGCACAGCGGGTTGGCCCATCTGTGTTTGGTCACCGGATCGCTGACCATCACCAAGGCCAGGATCAAGACCAACATTTCCAAGAAGCGGACGGGATCCTCTCAGAACAGCAAGGCCATTACCAAGTTTTTTGAGGCCATCTACCAGGCGATCTTGAGGCACGTCGATTTCACCAAAGTTAAGGCGCTCCTGATCGGAAGCCCCGGATACACCAAGGACGACTTTTTTGCCTACCTCAAGGAAACCTGCGTCAAGCGGGACGACAAGCCACTGCGGGATGCCGTCCACCAGGACAAGTTTGTCCTGGTGAGAGCCTCAAACGGACACAAGTATGCCCTGGAGGAGGTCTTTTCCGATCCTGTCATTGCAAAAAAAATCGAAGACACCAAGGTCGTCAAGGAGGTTGCAATCCTCGGAAAGTTCATGCGGATGATGGACACGGACCCCGACAAGGCCTACTACGGGTATTCCCACGTCAAATCGGCGGCGGACCAGTGTGCCATCGATTCCCTCCTAATCACGGACGAGCTCTTCCGGGCGCCGACCCCGCAGGTTCGTTGCATGTACGTGGATCTGGTGGAGAACGTCCGGTCCAACGGCGGGACGGTCTACATCTTTTCCGCCCTGCACATTTCTGGACAGCAGCTGGGACAGGTCAGCGGCGTCGCGGCCATCTTGCGGTATCCCCTCCCGGACCTCGAGGAGTTGGAGCTAGAGTACGAGGCAGCGATGATGGGCAACAACAACGACGAGAGCGAGGACGAGGACGAGGGCATCGATGAGGTCCAGGAGGACCTCGACGACATGCACTTTTAGCGGTCTCTTCGAGTTGGTGAAGTGCACGCAGCATCCGTGCGTACTGGGAACACCAATGTTCTCAAGCCTGCTCCACAAATCGACTGCCCTATAAATTTGAAGGCTATTGCTTGGCCTTGTGCGGTCCTGGAACTCGGCATGGGATGGAACAAAACCAAGATCGGCGATAGTTTGTGCCGCGGCAAAGTAATGAGCGATGTGCGCTGAAGAAAGCAAACAAAACGGATCGACGCTTGTTTGTTTGTTCGACGTCGTCCAATGCATCAAGAACGCTTGGCTGATTCTCATAGCCAGACCAGCCGTCGGGAACGGTGTCTCTGTTTCCGCGTGAACGAACGGAAACAGCAACATATTGCGTTCCATTCACAACCAAAGCGTCACAAGAATCTCGTAGGATTCGTACGGAGTGATGGTGATATAGCCATAACCTTGCGACTGTCTTACCACCGGATCAAAGGTTGTTCCCGCTAATAAAGATGGTTGATAATTTATATTCCAAGATGGAAATTTTGTAGTATTTCTTCGAGAGAATTTTCTGATATCACGTGCTTTTGACACGCCTAACAAACACTCCCAGCCACGTTGCTGGAGATATTGAATCGCTGTGTCATTTTACCCGTACATATATACTTGTATATATATATATATATATATATAAACTTAATATTATATTTAACCTCGTGAACTAGAAGAGGCGCTAGGAAGGCCAGAACCATTGCTGTTGTGGGAAAGAATGCTCCTAGCTGCTCCGAGGGGCGGCGCATCCCTCC